TGGCAGAGAGGATCATGAAGGCACGAGTGGCATTCCAGTAGGCTGAGGAGGATTAAAACAAGGGAGAGAACTTACTATAAAGATATGTGCAGGTAGATAAATATAAAGTATAAACCTTTCATATATGGATATGAATGGTTTCATACCAAAATGCACAATGTCATTTGAAAACTCACTGGGAATCATAATATTTCTACTAACCTCTTAAACATTAACTCATTTTCATTCTATTCTAACTTTTGTCCTTGGACTTGTAAATAGTTCCAATGCACTGCTGGACGCACACAGCTAAACTGATTAACACTTATGCTGTCTCAAGGCAGTCAACATAACATAAGTAACATAAGTTTGAACATGTACAGTTTAGTTTAGATTTTCAAAACGCTGCTCAAAATATTTTGCACACCATTTTACTGCATATTGCATATAGTGTATCTCCTACGGGGGATCCATAAAGGTACGTCTTATCTTATCTTATGTTATTAAGGGAAGTTTCACAGTAAGTTGTCATCATCTGGTCATGATGCATAGGGAAGTGTATTTACTCCAATACAGTGTTTAAGTACAATTTTGAGGTCCTGTTTCTTTGAATATTTGCATTTTTATTATTTTAATGCATTTTTCCATGACATTTCAGAACTGAACTAGTGAGTTATGATGAGTTATTTCCAAATTTATTTCTCAATCTGTTTGACAGCATTACTGTGTATTCTGTATCACTTTGTGTCAAACTTTCCTATCATGACACAGAATTACATAACCAAGGAGGAAGTTCAGAAAGTTCAAATAAAGGTTAACGCTATGATAATCTAGAGATAGATCTTCTAGTCTGCCTGTAGGCTATAAAAGTCATCTCTAATAGATCTCAAGAGTAAGGAGTCACTATAACTATAATCACCCGTGTATTCAGATAAGTAGACCTAGACTCCGGTGAGGGTTGCTGTGCCTCAGGGAGACCCAACAGAAATCTTTAAGGGTCACAGAAGATATTTTCCCACTTACCAATGCTGTCAGTCTGCATGTAGCACTTTCCAGACATGCAGTACCTCCACAGGCCCTGATGAGCAAAGCTGCCAGACAGACGGTACTGCATCCAGTAATCTGTGGCTGTGGAGACCACCAACAGGATGTTCCTCACGATGGCACAAAATAGGCCCCCTCCCATGAAGCTGTACATCATGAGTGACACTATGACAGTGGTTAAGGCTTCACTGTGCAAATAAGAAAAGATGAGGGGAGTCAGTGGTCAAGTTAGGGATTTTCTGTAACACTGCAGCTTTAGTTTTAATGTTTATTCAGTAGTAAATGGGCTTGAATGAAGTAGTGGACACAGAAGCAGGAAAAGATTGTACACATCTAGTAGCTGCCAGTTGTATTTAGACTGCTATGATGCTGGCTGACATCGCCACAGGTGGAAATGATAATTTATCTTTGGGCTAAAGTTAGTGCAACAGGATTAAACATGACATGACATTCATTTACACTGCCTGCTTAGAGTTCCACAACAGGACTGTGGGTTTAAACCACTCTTCCTGATCACACCATCTTCTCTAACCATTACTTCTCCTCCGGGCAACAGGGTTGAATTTATAGTCAGAAGCGACACCTTCTTGTAGACTGTGGGTGCAAAGAGTCAGAAACATTTGCAGTTTCTCATTTCAGGGAGATGCTAACCAAAGATACATGAGAGTGTTAGCATTATATAGATATCTATATCAATTTGTCTTGACTACACAGTTAGCTGTAACAACAAACCACATAACTGAGAGAGCTGCTGGCCTGAACAGCATAATCATAGCAACAACAATACAATCAGCCCATAGCAACATGTGCTCTCTCTCTCTCTCTGTTTGAACATGTTTTTTTTATACTCACTGCTGCCATTAAACAAGGCACAAATGTGTACATGTCCTAGTCAAAATAGCCTAAGAACACCACAGCCAACTCACACACAACTCACAATGCTGTAAAAGATGGTGATGGCTGATACCAGTAGAGCTCTGAATTAAACATTGATCAAAACAGGAAGCAATGACAGTGGCTTTAAATACAAATGGGGTTAAACCCTGATCCCCCATGTAGCTGCAGACTGTATTTAAGGCCATATTTCTGTTTGTTTTTTTAATGTAGGACATCAACTAATTGATTTGGACTAGTCAAATAAACCAGCATTTCAAAGCACAACATGTCAAACATCTGTATCAACCGGGTCAGTTTTGCTGCTATCAGAGACATCATGCATCACACACACTTGGGTGGAGGGTCTGAACACCACATAGTTATCTTTTAATATAAAAAGGAATCAGCTAAATCTTAAATGTCAAGTTGGGATGAAGTCTTAATAAATGTATTAATAAAACAAAGGGTATTACTGCAATTTTTTAGAGATTTTGACAAAAACACACGTTGATACAAAGTGAAATGTAAAACATATGAGCTAAAAGCCTGAAGGCTTGCTGCTATCACGTAAAGAAGACCCTCTCAGTCCACCTGTGAGACATACACTCAGCGGTTAGCATGCCATGATATGCATTCTGCTTTATTATTTTTATTCCCAATTCTTACCATCTAAGTGGCATCGGCAATTAACAAAAGACCCATCATCATCTTACCTGAATTCTTCAGGATATATCAACCCTCTTAAGTATCAGCCTTTCCTCAGGGAAAGAGTGAGAGAGAGTGCAAGCCAGGAGTGAGCGAAACGTCAAAGAGGAAGCCCTAGGCTGAATTCCAAAAAGTTATCCCCTCCACTTTTCTGTT